TGTGTGGTGCCTGGACACCTAAATTTACCCCTGGCCCCCACCCACCTTTGCTTTGCTTTTCAGCCCACTCCCCATAGTGTAAACCCACTACCACTGCTTTTATCTGTGGGGAAGGAGGTGAGCTGCCTTCATGGAACTGCAATCAACTGACATTCTGGATGCCATTACTGAAACAGATGCTACTCCATGGCCACAGTGCCCACAGACATCTTTTCAAGAACGGCTCCCCCTCTTTTGCATTGGAAGTCGATGCCTGCTCTTGCACGCCTCTTGTTGAGTATCTCTTATTTCCTGGCTGAGAGAGAGGAGGAGGAGACACTCCCTGGAACAATTGCTTCAGTTTGCTGTTGTAGGTTCTGACGTGTTTTTCCGTTCATCGTTGTTTTCCGTAGTGTAAGCCCTATTCATTCAACCCAAAGCAGCTGGAGGGGTGAAAACAACAGCTTTGTGAAAGATAGCACATAACGAAAAAAGACGGTGGGTATGAGCGGGCCCGAGTTAAGCAACTGAGGTTATTTTGGGCAAAATCTGAGTGTCATCTCAGTCACTTCCTTACAGTATCCCTGTAAGGAAAAGTATTATTACACCAAGATTTCCCAATGGATAAACAGAAGAAGAAGACAAACTTGTGCCATTCCCAAGACATATCACAAAATGAGTGTGTGGCGGAGGTGAGATTCAAACTAGAGATGTCCTGATTTTTCAGCTAAGATGATGGTGATGATGGACGACAATGGTAATGAAAACTAGAGTCCAATGGCCAGTCCCAACTAGAGTAAGCAGAAGGAATCCATTGTAGGAAAGTGCATTATTTCAAGGGTAGGAAATAGGATTAACCACATTCGAGAGATTATTTTTCTGCTCAGCTCTCTCTCTGTCGTGTGGAAGAAGGATTTTGCAGCAGGAAGGACGGATGGACACCAGAGTTGGGTGCTATTGGCTGGGGATTCTGAGTATTGTTGTCCAAAAAAGTAACTTCTACAAGCACCTGTCTTGCGTATGTCCCCCTTGTGATCAGCTAGGTCTTCTCTCAAGTTAAACTGGCGTAGGCTCCTAGCACTGGTGGCTAAGCCATGCCTTCTGTTATTTTCACTACGTGACACCACTGGTGTTCAGCCAAAGCGGCTGGTTTTGGCTGAATGAATGAAGCTCCCAGTAGTGGCAAATGCCCAGAGGAGAAGGAACGTGACAAAACCCAACATGGCAAAATGAGATAAACCCATTTCCACTGCCTTCTTTCCTGAGCAGCTGAATAGCACCTGCTGAGAAAGGGAGGGGGGAGCCTTTTATGAATATGAGGCTTGTTATCAACAAATGTTGTTGCCTTTAATGCGTGTCAAGTGACACTGTTCAGGCAGGGGAGGGAATCTGTGGCCCCCCCAGGGGTTGTGAGATTAAATCCCGTAATCCCTAACTATTGGCCCTGTTAACTGTGGCTGTTTTCTTTGTTTGTTTGTTTATTACACTTTTATACCACACCATCTGGCCGGTGGCCACGCTGGGTGGTGTAGAGCAAGAGGAAAACACAATGATCATCATCACAATAAATTGATATAATAACATCATAAAGTAAATAAAATAAAATATCAGCAAATAATAGATAAAGTGTGGGTGAAAAGTTGGAGCCGTTCACTGCCCGTTTGAAATTGGAATCACCAGAATCCACTGGCCAACTGGCTCAATGGGTTGCGAGTAGGTCCCTGTAGGTATGTGGATCCTGGCCATTGGTGATGACTGTCAGTCCCTTTGGATAAGTGTGAGAAGTATGTTTCAATTTGGGATGGTTATTGGAGAAATTGGATGTCGGAAGGGACTGTGGTGCTAACGAGATCATACCAAAAAGTGACAGAAGATTGCCCTTTTCTATATGATGCACCATCAACTTACAGAATATGCTTTAAGGGGGTGTCATGGTGGATATCAGCTTAGAGGACTTTTGGGATAAAAAAGAATTACAGAAATTCATGGAGGTTGACTGGTCATCATGATCATGACTGCCATCTGATTTCTGGATCCAGTACTATTGCAGTTTTTAATGGTCTTAAATTTCACATCTTTGGCTCATTGCTCTTCTACTGGAATTGGGATAGCATGACTGTAAAAGCATTAAAAGCTTTCTGTGCATGGTAAACATAATAGAATGCCTAGAAAGCATATAAATATCCATGTTAGACCATAACAGGCTTTCCGTTTCCATCATGGGTGGGACTTGGTTCTTTGACAGGTTGATTGGTGGGATGTAAGATGTGAAAAAAGTTGTAAATCCCAGTTTTACAGAAATCTACAGAGGCTTTGCACTTATTAAGGCATAAGACTATTGAACTCAGAGCGGCTTTAACCTAAAGAGCTGCGGTGTTTCCCC